GTCATCTTTAGTAGGGGTGTTAATTTAGTTTTATTTTTCATTTATAATAATGGATAAAACTAAATGAATCATTTATACTTAAAAAATAACTATAAATAAATGAAAAAAAAATTTATCTTTATTTTATAAAAGTAAATGAGTCCTTTATATTTATTTATTTATTTCTACCTTTATCTTTATTTTTTAAGTATAAATGATTCATTTATATGTATTTTCCAAAGTAACACTAAATTAACACCCCTAGTCATCTTCAATATTTGCCAAAACGTATTCGTCCACAACATTATGATATACATACTGACGCTATTAAAGGACTACAGTGGTTTGATAGCTATAATAATCAGTTATCCGTTGAAACTATCATCAATAAACCAGCAAATGTACAATCTATAGCTTCATCTACAGCAGTTTTGCTTGCAATTGGCACAAATACTCTGCGAAACGTAGAATCATTTTGTGCAATTCAACAAGTGCGACAAACAGTAAACACGATTAGAGTATTACATGGCCACCATTCACAATAAGGAGAAAAGAAACACATAGTTGTGCTTTCTCTACGAAATAACTTTACAAAAGTTACTCGTGTCATATCAAGGAGTTGGATTATACATATCCACGTTTGTTAAATTATAAAGGAGTAAAACGGGATTCCGGGTTTTTCCTGGATTTTTTTTCATTTCGGATTTTCCCTCTGGATTTTTACTTCCATATATTAGGTTATATTCTTATGAAAAACGCTTTCGGGTTGTCTTGCGGTTTCTCTTTGGAATCTCTATCGTGAACGAGTGAAGAAAGAAGACGAAGGCAATGTCGTCAGCAAGAAATTGCAGCACGTACTGTGCTCTACTATAATGCAATGAATGTTCGGTCACGATGTTAACTGTCAAACCTTCGACACAAGAACATGATGGTTCTTCTTCTCCAACGAACAGCAAAAATGAAGTTCACACAAAAGAAGAGGGCGAAGATGCAACGACAGTTTGAATAACTTTTCTGTGTTATTTCGTTTTTATTTAATCAAGAAAAAAACTTGTTGTATTCCGGACAGGCATTGTCACTACGAAACATAACTTGTGGGCTTTTTTCGCTTAGGGTGAAGGCCCTTTTCTCAAATATAGGTTATAACCTCCTATTTTGGAATGATTAAAAGAGAAACTGAGTTCAGAAAAAACATAGCAAATGGAAACGACATGCAAGTTCTCTGTTTAAGATATACGATTGACGTAGCGCAACAACCGTTTCCACATAGCAGAGAATGAAAGAAAAGAAATGACATGAACAATGTTCTTTTTTCCCTCCAACTAACGACTGAGTGATCTGAATACAGGCATCAGGAACAGATACATCCAAAGAAAGGAAATACAGCAACAAAATGCCCACAAAAGACCATGAAAGTTCTCTAGGAGCTGACAAAGAGTCTTATAAAAACGTTCATGGTTAATGATACGATGGATTTTCTTTTTGCGTTCTTCTTTCTACCATGATCCACTTGTACCATGAAATCCCCCTGTTTCTGGACGATTTCTTCCATTATCGTCAACGAAATTGTCAGGTCGTTTGAACACGGCAGTTTCATTGCGTGGTAGAAGGAAAGCAGTTATAATTTCGCGAAACGGTCGAGTAATTTGAGGTACACCGGAAACTTCGTACGTTTGGCTGCTATAAGCAACCAAAAGAATACGATCTCGACCATGTGTATCTTGTACTCTCCAAGCGAAACGCAGTTGACCTAAAGAAGTAAATACGTAATGATTTTTGGATGAATAGTGAATCAGAACCATATCTTTTTCACAATTAGAGTTAACTTCAGGCACACTGTAAAATGTCTAAATAGGGAAATAGTAGCAGCAGATGCTGCGGCACAGCAGCGCCACCACGATCAAAACATTAGCTGGTAATGTTTATCAACTTTTTCTTCAAGCTTTAAAAAAGGTGTAGTCGTCGGATTTTTTTATTTTGAAAAGAAGATAGTACGAATTTTTTCAACGAAAATTCTAAGTTCAGTCTTAGCACGAAGGTTTCTCACAAAACAACACATTTTTTGCGCTACACAACTAAAAATAGATTGGAAATTTTGTCATGGTCTCTTGGTTTTCAATTAACCCGTAAAAAAGGGATTTTTTTCTGTATCAGCTTGACCGGTACCCTCAACTGTAAAAACGATAACGGCTTCGATTATTTGCATACATGAAAGATGTTATCCCACTATCCGGAAGTGAAAAATCCATAAATCAAACATGCTGAATTAAAAATACGGAAAAATGCGGAACGAAAAATTTGAGGAAAAAAAATCATGAATTAGAAAAAGTGGAAGTAACAAATCCGAAAAATTGTTTTTTGTGGGGGAGTCCATAGATGTTGTGAAAAAGACTATTGAATAGATTTCGCGTGTGGGAAAGTTCATAGATTTTTTGAGAGAAAAAGTACTCTTTTTCAGCGATAAAATGCTCATTCTTTCCCCAAAATGAGACGTTTTCTATCAAAAAAACCTATGTACTTTTTCTTCACATGAAAAATATTCTGTAGTTTCTCCGCAGAAAAACTATGGACTTTCGCCAAAAAGAAAACTATTCCCGATTTTTTACTTCCGTTGTTTTAATTCCGGGTTTTTCCTGGATCTTTTTTCATTTCGGATTTTCCCTCCGGATTTTTACTTCCATATATTAGGTTATATTCTTATGAAAAACAATAAAAACTACTCAGTCGCTGTTTCATCGAGGGATGCGCAAATTTTACGTTGTTTTTTGTCACATCGGCTTAGATGCTGTGACTGCAAATCGTTTGCTATCATCGACGTGTGATATTCGCTTCGTGACTTAGCACTCACCACTTTGGCCATATTCTTGACCGAGATAACGTGCTCGACGGAAAACCTTGCGTAGATAATCGAGTAGTTCTATTTGATCAGCATGTGGATCATCGCCATCCACATTCAGACCAAGTTCTTGAAAATCATCGCCATGCCGTAAAAGGATATGATGTAAGCCACGTCCGGGATCATTTAACTTCGCCTGAATCGACAAAAAAACATAGTGAGTTACTACTGTTTTAAGGTGGCTTAAGTTCTAAGAGTTCTTATCCTGTAAAAATAGAGAAAAATTGTCTTTAGGATAAAGATACCACTACCTACTTTTACCGGATTTTAGTTATTTTTTTTTCCAACTTCATTGGTGAAGGAAACTTCGCTCTATTTTGTAAAAAGCGTCGAAGAGAGCACTATAATAAAACGGGCCACAAATCGTATAAGCGCACGAAGAAAACTGTTCAAACTCTATTGATGTATTAGTGGTAAGTCGCTTATATCACACTTTTGCTACATAATCTTCATAAAAAACGGTATGATGCGTTCACACTCACCATAGCTGTAGATGCGTGAACATCAAACATCGATGTATATTCCTGAGATCTGATAAAGGCAGCAATCGATCCTTCCTCTTCGTCTTCTTCGGGAATTTCAATCTCATAGATGTCGTTGCCTTTTTTGTGTCGTTTGGCATACACTCGACGAGGTTTGTCTATACGTTTACGTTCCTTTTCTGAAAAGAAAAATACAACTGTGCTACGATGTTCATTCGGTTAGTAGCACCGTCATTAGTTTGCCGATGACCACATTTTTGAAGAAAATGACAAAAATGTTTTTCTTTCTAAAAACGATCTAAAGAGGTGGGAAACGGAAGGTTCTAGTATTTTTCTTGTTTTAAAGAAATAAGAAAACGTTTGATTTCATTGGGATTCTTGAAAAAGCAATCATCAAAATGTTATCGTAGTTACTTTGCGCGGCATCGTGAGCTTGACGTGCAACTTGTGCGGCATTAATAACTAACTGTCCTGCTCGTCCAGCATTGGCAGCCATTCGTGTCAGATCAATGGCATGTTTCGCCCCCGTAAACCAGCTCATGTCTTAGAGTAGAGAGCAAGGCGAAGAAAAGATAAACAGAACACTTTATCTGAAATATAGCATATATTTAGTATAATGTTGGCATCGTTGACAATTTTTAGGGCTTTCCTTTTTCAGATTATTATATTACTGACTTAGCAGAAAGTAACTTTTTTGAGATTAAAAGCAGACAGTTGATGTGTAACTGAGGAACTGGAAAGGTTTTAGATTATCTCGCGTACGCATACAATCATCATCGTGCAATACGAAGAACATATTGCATCCGATTTCTTTTGCGTATTGCCTACTCACCAACAATATCGATATAACAGTACAGGGGCAATCTTTAGTGTTTTTTCTATGTGCTTACCCAGGAAAACAAGATTGTAACACGATACACACAGTGAGTCAGTACTTCTCTGTACTTGTCACTCTTTTATAATGTGCTTCTTGGAGAAAACCTACACCTTTTAGTCATACGAAGATATGAACTGTGACAAGTGGTTGCAAAGATAATAATTTCACCCATGACAAGAAAATTATACAGGAACACGTCATCTTTCAATTACCTCGCCTTTTACGTGTGTGAAATCGAAAAAATCACAAAAAATGTATAGTGCTTACTCATCGGCAAACGTTGAGGCAATAAAGCCCCAACGATGCTCTCTTTTGTGTATACTTATTCACAAAGAAGAAGGTTGTACAAACATACCACACAGGCAAACACGCATACACACATTTACAAATAGTGTGCCAACCTCTCACTCTTTTCAAAGTGTCTCTCAGAAAAAACCGGCACCTTTTAACAATGTATAGGTACAAGCCATGACATGTTGTCTTCGTGGATACGGAGATGGTATCTTCATCAGCCATACAAGAACACGTCATCTATTAATCAACTGGAGAATGAACGGGCAGGTTGGAAGACACCTGTACACATGTGTTCTGTGTTTCTCATCGACATCAAGCTACGTTTTTGAAGCAAATATTTCCATCAAAATGAAGCGTTTGGGAAGGAATTTTTTTATACGTTGTGCAGAGATTCCAGAATCTAGATCGAGTAGAAAAAATATGATCTGAGCTTTGGTTCTGTGGAAGGTTTTCCAGAGATTCACTATAAAATCGGACGCATAAAACGAAAACCTTATGCAATATTTTCGACTCGATGTAGATTCTGCAATCTCTGCTTATCATTCCCTGAAAATGTCAGCCTTTTTGGACGAGAAAGAAGTGAAATATACGGTTTTCAATTTTTAATGGTAACAAGCGAAAAACCGACTTTTCACTAAACTGAGTTTCTGAAGTTGTGATTGAGTAGGAAACATGAAACGAACATCGCTATGGTGATCAGCGTGGTTGATTACCAACGTCTGTATCTCCGGAACCAAAGGATATGAGGACCTGGGCCTTACATAGTTTTGAAGAGAAATGTTTTCGCTGTCGAATGGTATTTTTTGAGATTGGATTTCATAGCGTGGTTTGTAAACGGTAGCTTTCGGATTTTGTCTCGAATGGTATACCATGGTAAACGTGATCTGGTGCGTTCATTTTCCAGTAGAGTGACGTTCCATGGTGTCTAGTTTCAGAATCTGAAAACCACAGGGCTCTAGCTCTTGTCGTTGAAACGTTATTAGCGTTTTGCTCAGAGATCTTCTTTTTAAAACGCATAATAGTTGTCTTTTTGGATTTTATCTAACGTTTCAAAAGTGATTTTATATTTTTAATTATCACTGCATCTGGGTATGCTGAAAATATTTCAGATGGGTTTCAAACAAGACATAAAATGGTATTTGATTGTAGATAATGATGGATATATTGTTGTTAATAACGCTTTAGTCTTAGTTGACAAGTACTACCATGATCAGTTACTAGGTTGTGTTGCATGTCCACATCCATGGAAATTCACACATTTCGCCCGAATCTGGGGCACAGGGTGCTTCCAGGCGGCACATTTGGTGAAAATCGAAAGTGGACTTTTCGGTATGTTTAACAGTGATTTGTATACTTCGCGACATGCTCAATTCAATGGTAAAAGGGTTTTTCCTCTAGAGGTTCTGCAATCTGAAAAAATCTATAGCCAAAACTTGGGCTAGAATTGATAACATTTTCAGAAAAGTCGATCTTGAGAAATATTTATCATACTTAAACAAACACACAGTCAGAATCTGGACGCTGTCGGTTTCTGGTAAAAATTTAACTCTGAATTTTTCAAGTTTTGCATTACTCCTCCGAATAGACGTGTTGCATGAATTAGCAACTCAAGACATACACGATCAAATTTACTGACGTCTAGTACTTTTAAGGGTTATGAACTACGCTTTCCTTACGTACATTTAGATTTTTTCAAACTCAGTGTAAGGGAAGCCGTCAAAAATGATAAAATGCGTAGAACGTAGATGTAGACTATATTTTTATAGAAAGAGAAACAAAGAGAAAAGTCTGTTAATAATCCAGTTTAATCTAAAGCTGAATTATATATATGTTTTTCTCTAACAAACGAAATGAAAGAGAACAAACTTTGTATTTTAGTTCAAATCTTGATTCCTCTTCTACAGAGGAAAAATATGGTTTATTATGAGTTTAATACAAAATCTCTCAACTTTACGAGTTAAGTCGAAATGAATTAGCGAGTATCCATTTTTACTCTTTATCCTACCTAAAAGAGAAAATGTTTGACAACGTGTAGAGCTAAATTTCCAGAAATAGGTACAGGTTGGTCTGATAAAGGCAGCAATCGATCCTTCCTCTTCGTCTTCTTCGGGAATTTCAACATAATACCTGGAATTCCAGATAACATAATACCGGATCAGAATCGTTGACGACATCTAACAAGTAATTCATCATACCATAACGTCTAGATAAATATGGCATACATGACTTGAACTCAAAGTGGCTGCAAACATACGTACTTTAATTATGCAATTGGTTGTACTTGTGTTTTAAAATCTTGCAGTGTCAGTTGTGGTATAGTTGAAACGTAAACAACTAAGTCTTGCTTTGTATGACATTCATTAATGAATAATTTCATATCGTCAGTATCTTCAAAGATAAACATAGCTGTTAAATCACGTTTCGGTATGATAAATTCAACATATTTTGCCATATCTTGATCTTCGATATTCAGCTAAGGTACCAACAATAAAAACAACATAGATCATGTTAAGTGACATGGTGTAATTTACATACTGATAAAATCATTGGTACATACACCCGTTTTCTAAACAAATTTTTATTGTTTCGATACCATATAACAGCTTTATAACTATCTGGATCAGATAACTGTAGACTTTGTAGACGCATATTTTGTATTGATTCTAATTCACATTGTTTATCTAAATCATTAAAACAGAAATATCGTAAGAAGGTTCCCGAATCGGATTTAAAAGCTGTCCGTGAATGACTATACCCTTTTTAACTGAATACCACTTATTTAACTGCTTTATCTCAAATACTTTCATGATCTCACACAACCTGTCTCACCGAGGTGTATAGTTTCGACTCATTATATATGCCTACAATTACACTTACGTGCTGGCTGTGCATGCAATTTTCTCAAATCATCATTTATTTGTTCATCACGAAGTCGTAAAACATGACTTTCTTGAATCAATCTGTTACGTTGTTTTTCTAATCGATTCCATTCAACCTTCAGAATTCAAGAAATAGAATACAAATTACTGATGTAGAGGATAATACAATTGGAAAGAATTCAATATTTAAGATCTAAGCCTTCGCCAGAGCATTGCACATATATAACAAAAAACAATGACAATTACTTATATATATACATACACGTACATCTAAAGATTGATTATCGTTAGAATTTTGATTCACTGTTCTCAATTGGTTGTATAACTTTTCAATTTGAGCACTAATGTCCTGAACATTTTCCATTCGGTGTTTTTCTTCATGTTTTTTATTACGTAATTGTTTACGTATTTTTTCAATTACATAACGATGATTTTCGATCAATGTATCGATAGCATTTGCTAAACTTGGATTTTGGGCTTTAGTTTGCTCGAGCTGGAATTTTTAAAACAAGCAGAAATATACAAGACGTTCGCTCTCAAAATTTGTCAATATTGTAATAACTTAATAACTTACTTTTATCTGGTAGACTTCATTACTCTTTTCAACATCTTGAGACCATTCATTCATTTTCTCTTGTGAAGATTTAAATTTAAATTTTATCTCAGTTCTAATCACCTTAAGCTTCTTCCATGCTTGGACTGAGCGCTGATACATTGAAACTCGATCTTGGTATTTCTAAAGCATAGACGGAGTAAAGAATGCGAAGAATAGAGAAAGCATGATTCGAGCATATGTCTTACCAAATATGCTTTAAATTCACCATATCGGACAGCTTTTCTTTTTAGTTCAATTCGACCTTGTTTTGAAATGTTTTGTCCCAATCGTTGTATATTTTCTCGACAACTGCTTACTTCGGCTTGAACTTGTTTTGACTGCTCTTCATATTTCAACGCTTTTTCGCGCATCACTTTCAATGTTTTATGTAATTCGTATAAATCATTACTACCAACCTACAATATCAATGAGTTTCTAGTTGGATACTACGAGGATACTTATACACGTACACATTTTCCTGTAATTTCCAGAACATCGTATTTATTCATCGTGATAAATGTATCTAATTTTGCTGGCTGTAAAATCTGGCACAAACTACCAGGTTGAATATGTAGTTTGCAAATTTGACGTTGTATCTAAATGCGGAAGAATAAAAATGAGTCAATTTACCCAATGATTGAACATACACATTCCTTACCTGTTCTTCGGTTGATCTTTAGCCATTAAGTAACCAAAAGCTTGTTATATCACGTAATATTGTACGATTTATGATTCAGTTGGCACCATTATCAGCATTTAGTCTATTACAAACGGCAATGTAAATTAGAAACGTTTTTATTGTGCTGCAAAAGATGCTATAACAATAAAACGTTTTATTTTGCGCCCCGTCACTTGTATCGATTGAGCCGCTTAAAGCTAGATATATTGCACACAGTAATGATGATCTCCTAAACAACGCGGAGTTATAATCATCATCCATTCTTAAAGATACAGAACCGCTCGTACCCACTGCCATCCGATTCAATAATCATATTCAATTCAGCATCAGGATACATCTCCTTTGAATCGTACCTCCTGGTAAACAGATGAAGTAACAAATGTTCGGTATAACGATTATAGTGCTTTTTCAACTTATATAAAACTTTCTAATTTAATACGAACAATAGTCCCATTAATCGAAGAACTAGTGTTATCAAGGTCAACGACCACAACATCATCACATTATGTTCTAATATCTTGGTCCAAAACTTCGTTAATCATCATCTAAAACAATCAGCGAAATATGTGTGCAGTTATGTGGAATGAGCAAATGACTGATTACGATCTAGAAAATTGCCGGTGTTGGTACCAAAACCCTTTTTTAGCCGGTACCGAGATTACTGAATATTGGCTTAGTCACCACAGTTAATCTTACTAGTTTAGGACTGAGCCCGTCACAGTTGTTTTTTAATATGCTGGGTGCTGCGTGTCAGAAATCGAGCAAACAGATCATGACTTGTATTTTTATTTTATTTTTCATGATTATGAACAATCTTGTACCTAATGTTTCTTTACTTTGTTGAAAAGTGCATTTTCTCTATCAAAAACATAAGTTCTTTAACAGTATCGGACAATAATCGATAAAGGGTGTTCCAGAAGCTTACAATTTAAATAATAAATTTTTCTATAGTGAAACAAGTGATTGTAAATTTGTCTCTATGAAGAAAATATACAGTAAAACACGCTCTACAAAATGACTATTGATTGATCCCGCTAGCTCATCTAATAAGAAAGTTATAGGCTTAGAAATGTGCTTCACAAAAAAGAAAAATTAACCATGAACCTTTCAGAACATAAAAAAAATTAGTGGACTTCAGTAAAAGTCCCATAACTTCATCAAAACAAAAGGTTTTTCGATCGGGTTTGTTTTGTTTTAATCAGAAATGATCACTCTTCTCTATCTAGCTGCTATATCAAAACTTCGATCACGTTTTCCATTTCTTGCTAGGTATATTGTTGGAAACGGGGTTGTCGATTTTTCATTTTTTCACCTTGCGTATAATTTGCTTAGTTTTCCTGATTGAAGTTCTGAAATTAGAGTTTAGGTATGATTTTGTAGAGAATTTCACGGCGCTTCTATTAAAAAAAGAATATACTCTAGGGAAGCTAAGGAACAGGAGTTAGAGCAAAAATACCGAAACCGACTTTATTAATAGTACACCCGTTATACGAGAAACGTTTCTAAGCTTATAACTTTCTTACCAGATGAGCTAGCGGGATCAATCAACGGTCATTTTGTAGAGCGTGTTTTACTGCATCTTTTCTTCATAGAGACAAATTTACAACCACTTGTTTCACTATAGAAAAATTTATTATTCAAATTGTAACAGAACTTCTGGAACACCCTTTATCGCTCCTTTTGTACCAAATATCCAGGAATACTAAATGTGCATTCTGAAGGCACTCTAATCGCTGGAATACAATTATTTTGGCTAATTTTTGAAACAGTGATAAATTTGATTTTAACTTATTGATAAAAGAATAGTACCGAATTTTCGCTACTGACCTAGTACCGGTACCGAAGTACCGACTATTCTTTGTTACTGCCCTACAAAAACCTTGTTTTCCTTCATCGCATCGGCTGGCAGCATCGGCTCACCATGATAGCTTTTACTGGATGGTTACTGAGATTTAAGCGTTTTACTTTTTTTGCGTAAAATGCTAATAACGCCTGATCCAAGAGAGATGAAACTTTTCTTTTTACCAAAATGTAGTCCTGATTCTCTTCTATCTACGATAGGAATTTAAAGAGGTAGCTGTTAATGGTGGTTACTGAAAAACAGCTACTTTACGATCGAGGTTCCTGAACATGAGGCCCTGAGATATGAGGTCCTTTTCAAATCCACGATATCTTCTGTGGTTAATACCCGTCATAGCCATGCAAAAATATAATAATGAAAACTTATGGGGAAAATAACCACAGAGTATATGAGAAGTGAAAAAGATATAAAATAAATGAAATGAGTAGGGGCTACTCTCTTAACAAAACAGGCATGTTAAAAAACCTAAAAGGATTCGGGAAACTGCAAATATACAGAACCCTTTTTAGGATTTACGAAGGGGTTTTCACGCTTATTAAATCCTTAAGTTTCAGTTGCAAATGAAATATCTATTTTTTAGAGGATAGTTTCTTGTATTTGAAATGATATTATGGTTTCTTATAATTTCGGCATTTAACGATTCTGTTGTTATATAGAGAAAGGATACGAAACAACAATATTCACTTCTTTATGTGCGGTAAAGTAAGATGCAGGAAAAGAATTTGCTTCATCGGTTGTAAGGCAGACTGCACAAAAGGATTTCTATCTCTTATGGCTATTGAATCTGGCAAATTACAAAGAAAAGCAGACAGGGCAATGAAGTGTTAAGTGTAGAACAGAAAAAGAGAACCAGTTTGTGTGCTCTCTAAAAAAAATAGATACTTTTCGAAACCCGAACGGTTTTTTGACTCGATGAATATTAAAAAATCAAAAGGGTTTTTCATTATTTGCTGCTAAATCCCAAAGGTTTTTCAGTTCAACTCCTAAGCTATTTTGGTCAAGAACTAAGTAGGAGCTGCAAGAAATATAAAAGATTCATAATTTTAGTCTAATTCTTCATATTGTTTGTAAGCCTGAGATGCGGAAATCGGGAAAAGGATGCGTAGTTAACGCAATTCACAAGTACATAAGGCGAGCTACTAGCGGTGTAACTTATTTTCAAAACAATGGAAATTTAAAATTTAACTTATGACACTTATTCTGAAGCCTAAACCAACTTCTCGAACAAGCGTAGTTTTTTTTCGATATTTTAAAGATCTTTCTCGTCTCAACAGATAAGTGGCAGTCCCTTTTCCGAATGAGAAATATGCCCAATCGCTGGCAGTCCGAAAAGTGACTGACGCACTTGCCTCAGTTGTTAAAGCGATTTGCAGCGACTGACTGTAAATCACTAAGACGACTGTCGTAATTTACAGTGTAGACTACTAAAGTCAAGGGAATACAAATTCAATCAGTACAAGAAAGCCCCAGAAGTTCTTACAAGAGCATGATTAATAATGATTCTGGATCTTATGCATGTCGCACGTGTCATGGTGAACTTCTAAGGCTCTGTTTGATACAATTCTGAGGGTTCGTTTGTTGATGCAAGAAAGTTTGAACTCGTTTTTTGTATTATTTTAGTTATTTATGCAGGATAATATTTATTTTTTTAGCTGGATTTGAGGTTAAAAGAAGTGAAACTTCATAATGAGCTTAGACAGATGTATTCAAGTTTTTTCCAATCTTCTTTGTGTATATAATTCAGTTGTTACGTTTGTTTAAAAGTTTCAATTTTACGTCAATTTTACGTTTTACGTAAGTTTCAAATCTTCTTCTAAAGTAGGTTTTCTAGAGGACCGTTAAGAAAATCACGTCATTAGTAATGCATTCAAAAAAATGCAAGAAAAATAGACTTGGATATTTTCTGAATAATATTTGAGTTTTTGAAACAGTATCCACTTCAACTGAACTGCAACTGTACCACCCACTGCAAACTAGCTAGCTGTTTATCAGTCGAAATCCGTCATCCCATATCAAAATTTAACTGAATATTCGTAGAGATACGACTCTCAAGAATTTTACATATTCGGAATGAGGACGACGAGCTACGTTGTAGGGCGCAATGGTCTCGATATTTTATATGATAAATCAGGATCTTCTAATGTACGTTTGTTGTTGTCCACATCTTCCATGTATTGATAGCAGTATGTATAGAATTTTCACTGTGGCGATGTTTGCGGTCGATATATTTACGAATTAGGATACGCTAAATTATGTAAAATGTCTCTTAGTATTTTGCGGAGCTGTGCAGCCTCGTCATTTTGTAAGCTCTACCTGAGTGTGTTATTCCATATTGATAACTTTTTCCTTGTCTGAGAGCAAGGGTCATAAGACAACAGTCGACCACAGAAAACGTTCTGGCTGTTTTATGACCACGACTAAGATTGAGACGAGCGAAGCGAGCTGAGGTGTCTTTCGTAACCGTCATATTTTAATTTCACTAATGCGTCTAGCGGGTTACCACTAGAAAGTATGCATTCAAAAAATGCAAGAAAAATAGACCTGGATATTTTCTGAATAACATTTGACAGAAACATATAGAGACTCGCAGTCTCAAGTAGTTGGAAGCCAAGATCGGACCGCACCTTTCATCACGCAAGTCTTTTTTAAAATCTTCTTCTAAAGTAGGTTTTTTAGTGGACCGTTAAGAAAATCACGTTATTAGTAAAATATTTATAATAAATATATTTTGGTTTTTTTCCTGGTTAGGTAGTACAAAGTGTCTGCACCAAAATGGTAGTCAAGCGAGGCCTTAATTTTCAGCGGTTCGGTCGTAGTATTGGACTTCGCTGGAGTCTCAGCAATAGCATCTGGTAATTTGGATGAATCTTGAGATCGATGGAACATACGTAATCAACCACACTGCACCTCATGACAACGTTTGTTTTTAGGCAAGGGTTCAAAAATCTGGTGAAAAGTGAGTATTAGAA